TATTTCTGTTATGCTACACAGCCCAACTGTCACGCACTTCATTTGTTGTCTTTTTCATCTGCATGTAATACTGCTCGTCAATAGTACTATACCACATTCGGGTATCTAATCCATCTTTCCTTCAACCTGTTTGTCTCTGCCATTCTGTTTTCTTTTGAGAGAGAGAGAGAGAGATATTTCAGTTTTCGTACCTATGAATTAGTACAGAAAAAAACGATTTTACTGAAAAATTCTGTCGTCAGGCTATATGATGTTTACTTTTCCAAGATTTCCACGAATTTTGTTGAACCTAGTGATTTTTCAACAATACAACCAGTAAAACGGGTGAAAATCCTGTGCTGTCATGTTTATTGAATTTAAGGCTTGCTGTATGCCTCAGTCGTTTGGGTGATTTCGCGGAGAAAACGAAGGACATTGTTACTGTTGGAAGGACACATTTTCAAACCGCTTCACTGGTTACGGTGGGTAAACGGGCTGTCATGTGGGCTCAGGAATTGTTAATGGTTTTTATAAAGGTATGTTTTTTATGGTAAATCAAGAAATTTCTGTATTATTTCACTGTAAAATACAGGATAGCAGACATCTTTTGGCAAGATTCTTGATGTTATTAGCAAAACTCGCTTATTTTTTTCTTACATCACTAGGCCGCTTCAACTTTCCGAATTCTGTAACAGTTTGAAACCCACATTATTTTGGTGGTCAAAAGATAGTTGTTATACAGTTTGAGTGCTTGTTTTGCAGCTTGAGTGTTTTCGTACTAATATGCGATTTCGAGGTGCCAAAGGAGCGACTGGTACACAGGATTCTTATATGGCCCTGTTCCACGGCGATGAATCAAAGGTTTTCCAGAAATAACAATTCATTTTTGCTCTTTTTCATTCCATTGCAACTGAATCATATATGCACACACGTATGGATGTCAAATAGTCCTAGTGGCGTTTGTCACTTTGTAGCCTGAATTTTGCATGATTTTATTTTTCTGAAAATGCTGATCTCGGTGAAGGTTGCTGATTTGATCCGACGTTGTTGGCTTTTTTCAGCTAGTTTTTGGGTATGACTAAATATTAAATTTCGGCTGTCTTTTTCTTTGGCAACAAACTACACATGCAGACACGTGGGTACGTTTCTGGCTCCCCCTTTTTCCAGTCCGCTAATATAGTTGTCTTAATTGTTTTCATTAGCAACTTTTCAATAGCAACCCAAAATTCTTTCTAATACTTAACAAACTTCCCTTCCTATATTTTTTCTATGATAGACAGCGGCACCTAAACTGGCAGCACCTACCAGCAGTGTCGGCGTGCCAGCAAAACTGTTGTTGGCTTCTTCGATTATAGTCTGTGTGTATTTTTTATTAGAATGATTATGCTTTTTTACTATTTTTCCGGGCTGTGTGCTAGTTGTTTGTTTTGTAGGTGGACGAGTTGGACGAGCTAGTAACAAAGAGTGCTGGCTTCACGCATCGGTTTTATATCACTGGGCAGACATATTCTCGTCAACAGGCACTTTTCATTGTTCTTTTCTTGTCTGAAAATAATGCTGAAACTTTTATATGTAACGTGGGGATAAGAATGGTTGCCAGTTCATAACTGATTTCAACAGTACATGCCTAATAGTGTGCATAATTTTGCCTTAACTTGGTTCTCAAGCCTCTGCTGCGAAAAAGAAGCGATATATGGTTCTGAAAGCGTACAAGGCG